AGAGGAGGCGGAGGGCGCCGGGGCAGGAGGGAAGGCAGGGGAGGGAGCTGGGGGAAGCAGGAGGTGTCAGCACTCCAAGCCATGCAGAGTGCAAAGGGAAGGAAGGTGAAACCAGGCAGCCCTTGGGATCAACAGCGGAGCCCAGGAGAAAGCACAGGGCAGCAGGACAAAGCTCCTAATTTCATACCACAATGCTTGGTCTGTGTGAAAGCCAGATTCTCCATGTGCTTTCATCCTTAGTTTCTCCAGCTAACTGCACTTCTCTACCCAGGTGCTCCTCCTGGTCAGTCTAGAAGGGCCTTTGGGGTCATGCCCCAGCACCTCTCCCTGCTGCTCCAGCACCCTTAGTTCCCACTTACTCCAAAAACTTCCCTTGGACAGAGGCTGTGGCCCTTCTTTCATTAACTTCTGCAATTATAAACTAGCACAAACCTCTTAGCCCGGTCCGTGTCTACTTCAGCACCGAATCAGTGATGCAAGAGTAACTGGAAAGGAACAAAGAGGTGAGAACATTCACTACCCACGAGGTGGCACTGCAAGAACACAGCTCACACTGCCATGCCCCAGGCCTGACAACAGGAACACGGGTCAGGGTGACAGCCAAAGCAGTAACAGTTAACGGAAGGCTTGAAAAAGAAAATTCAAAGTTCCAAAGCAGAAGAATATTTAATTTCTATTAGGAAAATGTGTTTAGAGTGGTCACACTCAGCAAGGGCCTGACTCGAGCAGGCTGTGAATTCAGCCTGTAAATAAACATCTTACCTTTTTCCTGGTGGAAAAGTCAGGTTTTGATACATGACACTGTACCTGCATTTCCTATTTCCCTGAGCCCTGGCAAGAAGAAATATGGAAAACTAATCTGAACAGGGGGCGTGGGGGTGGAGAAGGGGGGCACAAATGAGACCTGCTCCCACAGTACACAACTAGGAGCACTCACCGAACAGCACAGTGTTAATACAGGGCTTCCTCCACCTGTTTCACCAGTAAAGCTGGGCCAAAGTACGATGGCCATTTGTGGAAACACCGCCAAACCACACAGCTTGTATCAGCAACACTGCAGAATCTGCTGCTGCAACTGTAGAACATCTATAGCAAGATACAAGCCACAGCATTGGAAAGCCGGGTTATTTGCCAAAAAATGAGACCACTGCCGTAGCAGAAAGCTCAGCCCTAAAAAAGGCAACCACTTATTTGGAATTCAGCGCTTTGGGAAGATAAAATTAGCACTGCCAGTTTACAAACTGAGCTGCAACATACTTTCCTCTACAAGGAGACTGATTTTGTTGCAACTTTGAGCCATAACAACCCCTTCCAGTACTGCTGGACCCAAAGGAAGAGGGGGAGACTGTATGCATATCCACATGGAAGTGGATAGAAGTTTAACAGTAAGAAGCATGACAAAGAACAAAAAGCTCCAGTCTGTCATGCATTACCCAACACAGCATGACTGGGGAGCGTTTGGCTTTCCTGTTGGCCTCGTGCCCTACTCTTCTTCCCCATTCTCAGAAGCAACCAGTCAAATAAGTCATCTACCATTAATACAATCCTGGGCTGCCCCAAATCAACGCAACTATTCTACTATAGACAAATCAGTTACCCCTTTATTCTGTTTTTCTTGCCCTACTTTGTTATGCAGCTATTGTGAAAGGATTTGCCCGGTACTGTCAGAACTGCTGCATTTCAGTTGAATTTGTGTCTAATTAGTTCCTAGCTCTGTTCAGAGGATGCATCCAAGCGGCTCTGTGAGACGGACCCTAAAAGAACATTCACAATTTGAAAAAACACACCCAGGTAGAGTGTGAATCGACTTCCTTGGCATGAACATTACAAATATGCCACAAAAGCACATGGCTGACTATCAAGACAAGACAGGATTGCCATGTGGGATTCCCCTGTGGAAGGTTTCAGGTCCCATTTATCAGGTCAAATTAACATTTGTTGATATCAATTATAAGGCCACTCCTGAGCCTGATACACTGTAGCTGAATTCCCCTGCTGATCACCACCAATAGCAACCTCTCTTTCAACCCCAATATAAAAAATTCCTTGCAACAATAGCAGAGAGATTGTAAATCTAAAGATCTAAAGGTGACTGTCCATTCACGGAAGCTCTCTGCTTCATTCATACTTACACTGACTGACAGGTGATATAGTAAGAGGCTTCACATCAGGACAATTGAAGTCACTTTTTCAAGTTTTGGGAAATGTCGAAGGTTGAGGACAAGTCTAGAAAGTCCCTCTTGTCCAGAGTCACAACATTCTGATACAGATCTTGAGCAGAGGAAGAAGTTCAAGGACTATAAACATTGACTTCTCTGGTATTAGATTGTGAATATTATTATACTCAAAAGCCTATGACAAGTTGTTATTTTACTCTGAGATTAACCTGAAACGATAAGATTGCTCTTTTGCATCCCTTTCCTGTCATAAACAAATCCCATAGGAAGAAATATTCCGCAGAAACACTTCTTATGCAAATATACCAAAAGCAGGAAACGAGGTTGAACTGGTTGCAAATGATTAATGAAACAGTAATTGGACTAAATAGTAATAAAGGGCTAGAGTCAACTCAGGTGACTAGAACAAGCATACAAGCCACTGAAAGGCACCCATGCAGCCAAGGGCAAGACTCGGTCAAGACAGGTCCTCTGAACACTCAGCTGAAATTTTCATCAATGAAGGACATCGATAGATACTTTTAAATCCAGTAAGATCAATAACAAAACTGGGCAGAGAGATCACCCAATGCCTGAACAGCAGTGCTGAAAACACAGCTCAGGAGCTGCAGAGCTGCCGCTTCCTGAGCCCATACGCTGGACCGGGCTTCCTCCTGCGGGGTCCCCTGTCCACGTGGAAGTGGCAGTAAATTGTACCCTGGGGGATGCATGGCTCTGCAAGGACCTCTGAACCACAACACGCTCCGTTTCCCCTTCCCTCTAGAGTTGTCCAAGCTGTCGACCTTCATCAGTAGCAAAGTAACAACGTTGCTCAGCCAGCTCTGAATTTCCAGTAGATGCGCTGGAAAAACAGGGAAGTCACACCCACCCACTGCTGAAAGACAGGGTAAATGGACATGGAGGCCTCAATTTGTCTAACCTAGCTTTTAACTGAAGCATGGAAGGCTCCTAACGTTTGCGTCACCCGAATGTCCGTGAACCCCTGCTATAGCCTGTGTCAGCAGAAGTACAGCAGGAACACCCAGACACTCATGAAGTCTGCTAACCATAAACCTTCTACTCTTTCTCAAAGAAGAACAAGTTCTCACCTCATTCACCCACCAGTTAGTTAATGAGTTCAGTGTTGTCCTGAACTCCTTTGCCCTTCTAACCGCGTTTGTTTCTGTTCCTTCCTCTGCTCTGCTGTGGGAGAGAGGGGCTGGGACACAGCAGCACAGACAGCTTGAGCACTCAGGTGCACTTGAGGCTAGACTCGGTACTCTGTCTTCTACAAATGATCCCTGAAGGGATTAGTGGCCCCTGCCCTTCTTCCTTACTTCCATGGGATTCCTACCGAGAAACTGTTTATTCTACCCCTCAAAAAAAAAAAAAAAAACCCAAAAATAGAGAGTGAGGGATTTGGTTCAGGAGTCTAAGAAAAGCTGAATATTCACAATATACCACCTAAGCATAGGTGGCATAGGGCATTCTTGTCAGTGCAGCTCTTCCTGTGAACTCAAAAAAAAAAAAAAAAAAAAAAAAAAGGGAAGATGCTCTTACTAAGACACCAACTTTGTTTTTATTTCTCAGACCTCCCCTGGACTCTGTGTGACCTTAAGTCACTTACTTTGCCCATGCTTCAGTCCCCACATGAAGCCCTCTGATAACTGAAACCAACAGGGATGTAGGTAATCAGACATTGAACACTCAAAGCTATGCCTCATTCTTTAAATTGTGCTGTAGGGTAACAGCTCTAAGGTAGTAAGCAGGGCCAAAGAAGAGCAGACTTCCTACCCAGAGCACTCACAACTGGTGTGGTACCTAATTCCATGGCACACAATGCTGGAAAAGCAGGAAAGCAAGGAAAGGGAGCGATACACACTGCTCTTCAAATCTACCTGGCATGAAAAATATGCTCTGCCTTTGGTTACGTGCATTCTAAAAACATCATTGTATTCCTAATTTAATTTCCTCTCAGGATCTTTGACAGCATCTGGGAAACAGATATGTTGAAACCTTCTGTCAATCCAACATACCAGGATTCAGCTTTTGTGATACATAGTGTGTGTCGTTATGGTTCTAATGTCAAAAACTGAGAAGCAGAGAACAAGACAACTTGCCAAGGTCATGCAGAAAGCCAGTGCAAGAGAAGTAGAAGAGTTCTCCTGTTTTTCAGTCCCACACTCTCCAGTCAAAGTGCTGCACTCAAAATATCATCAATACTAAGATTAGATAATTCCTCTATATAGCTGTCATTGTCCAGCAGAGCGGTGTCTAGAGGCCAGCTGAAATTGTTGTTAACAAATAAAGTACTAATTTAGTTAAGAATGGTAACGCTGCTGTTGTCACACCCTGGCTGTCACAGTGAACAAAGTTTCAGACTGTTAATGCCATAGGGTCCGCTTCTAGAAGGGAATTGCTCGGTGATATTATCGGCCATTGTAAAATATCTTAGCCACGAAGTTAATCATTAACTCAGATCCCCATCTCATAGAAACATTGTCACAGCACAACGTTCTCAAAGCTAACTGCCACCAATCAATCATGTATACAACCAGAATAAAGCAGCATATAAAAGAAGCCAGAAAAGCATTCAGGAAAGCATTCAGCTAAGGGAAGCATTCAGCTAAGGGAAGGCAAACTGCACTGAGGTTTATCTCCATGGAGAAATCAACTGGCAAGCTAAACAGTGAAAATGAGTCAACAACTCCTGGAGTACCGCAGCTTGAAAAGGGTAGTCCTGAGCCCGCCACAGAATGTACTTCAGGAACGAGCACAGCAGGACCTCTAATAGAAAATGCCGCGGATGTGAAGAAACTGGGATTCACTGAAGAGCGCGCTAAAGAAACGGAGAGACTACCAGGCACAGAGTTAGACAGTCCTGATGGCTTTAAACCAGCAGCTTCAGAAAGAGACTGTCTAAACTCAAAGCCTCCAACTATGGTAATGAACTTTTCAATCTCTTCTGAAGTATTGAGTTCTGAAACGTGTTCACCCAAAACATCTATTGCAGATATGGACTGTCTAGTCTGCTTCAACAGGTACAACATTTACAGAGTACCAAAGCTCCTGGACTGCCAGCATGCTTTCTGTGCAGTCTGCCTCAAGCTTATTCTTAGGAAAGATGACAGGACCTGGATAATCACTTGCCCGCTGTGCAGGAAAGAGACTGCTGTGTTAGGAGGACTCATCCGCACACTTCACGATAAAGATGACATCATGGACCACTTGGAAAACCCTAATTTAACTCCTGAGATACATATTTCCCCCACAGGGCTGGACAGCAATAGTTGGACTCAGACCAGCCAAGACGCTTTATACGGAGAACAAAATATTCCAGCAGACAACAGACTGGCTATCCAGAGACTGGCGCTGCTCTTGCTGCTTGTCGTGATTCTTACTATCCTCATCCTCCCATTTCTGTACTTTGGGCTGATAAAATGGGTAATTTGTCTTATGCTTACACTGGGAGTGATCATGTCTTTGGTGCTTTGCTGCAATCCTAAATTCTACTTTAGCTGTAATGGGAACTCCCTCACCTCCTGCCACAAGGAGACCAACATCCCTGCCACTGCTTGAAATGACCGATGAGAGCTGCCTGGAGATGATGGACTAGCGCTATCTGCAAAGCTGCACGCGAGAAGCACTGATCAGTTATTAGACTTTGAAAGCAATCATTCATGTAATAAATTCACAAAATGTGGCTAAGTTATCCCGCTAAGGCTCAATGCCAATACACATCATTGCTCAATTTTATTACCTGAAACATAGCAAAATATTTATATGTAGTATTTTTCTCAGATAAAATTTCAAGCTTTTCATTATTTGTACCTCGGACTAGTAATTTTGTTGTTTTGCTTTTGTCATTTTGTTCTTGTTTGTGTCATCTCTGGATCAGTGCTGCAGAATATTATGCGAAATGCCTGACAGACGTTATCCTGCAAAAATCTCTATCTGCTGTTGTGCTTTTCACTATCTTTACGTACGCTTTTTTTGCGAGAACGTAGCAAACTAGATTAGTAAACTCAGGACCGGAACTCTAGTCTCAATGGAAGAGGATAGCTTTAACACAGATTATCACTTCAATCCCCGTCACCGCCCAAATGCTTGTTAGCAAGGATAGGAAGGAGGGACCAGGGAAAGA